ACAATGCTACGACAACTGCAGGAAGGCCCCAGCCATAAAGCATATATAAACCAAGCAAAAGTCTTTTATTAAATGTACTAGACCGAGGGGACTGGGTTCCAAATACTCGTGCCAGATCAAACGCAAGAACATTGGTCCACAAAAACATAGACAGCCAGAAGAAATGCATAATGGCTGCCGTTAAAGTGCAAACGATTTCTGGTTTAGTTACATAGGCAATTGTAAGCATTATAAATTGTGCTAAGAAAAGGGATATCATTAGACACAACCGGCAGATACCCGGCAAGTTGAGAAGCGAACGGAAGCAACATAGGGTTAATATAGATAGAAGTAGCGCCACCAACGATATTATACAAACAGTTATGTTTATTATAGTCAATGTTTTGTTATAGAATAATAAAACTTTGTTTTCTTTCTTTACATTGTCAAGAACATTTTGCAAAACTCTGCATGACAATTTTGAATCATTTGTTGTCAATGTAACCCAACCCTCATCAGAGCTTCCATCGTCGACCTGGTTGTCTGGTCCAAAGGTCTTAGATCTACAAGATGTAATACATACACTCTTTTCGTCATCTACCGATCCACGATTATCCTCCTTATTTATTCCATCATACTGGTGGTTGCCAGAACCGCTGCCTTCAGTCGGCCCCAGCTCGTTTGATGATGTTAGGTCTAAGTCATCTAGTAGTGTAAAATCAAATAGGCCTACACTGTTATTTAAAATCGACATGTACTCAGATTCGCTAACAATCGTTCCATTATCACATCGCTGACATTTTTTTGTTACCTCATCGTAGTACTCATTTTCGATACACTTCAATGTTTCTTTGAAAACGTTTGTTTCGGGAATGGGAAAACAAAATATTTCGAAACTGGGTGGAGCATCTATCATGGATGTACTGCATTCTAGGTCAACTTCGTCAACTTGCCAATCAATAGATATTTCTATTATACTCCTGTCACAATTTAGGCACATCCTATTTTTATACATATTTGCACCAGCTATAATTACATCAATATAAGCACTACAGCCAAATATAAGTTTTTCGGAGCTACCACGTGGGCACGAGTCTATCAATCGTAGAGAGCATGGGCGCAGTTCAACGGATATCTCACTGACGTCCTCTACCAAAAACTCAAACGAACAATTAATAGTCGATTCAGATGAGCTGGCACACAACGAAAATGTAGAATTTGATGCTGTTGTATTGTTGTCAATAACATCCATATTACAAATTGCGCAGAACTGGTTGGTGTATACGTAACCTTTGTCGTCATAAACCAATTCTTCGCGCACTGCACCGGGTATTTCGCATTTTCTTCTGATGTCATCAAAAGACCACGATGGCGGGCAGGATGCCACTGCTAATATTCCTTCTAAAGATGGTTGAGTGCTGTCAGAATTTGTGATGCAACTCCATCGTGGTTTGGTTGTATCAGTTAAAGAAAGATGGAGTTGGTGGCTGATAGACGCGGCTAAGCTTTTGTTACTTGTTTCGCTATCATCGCTACAGTAGTATAAGTAGTCTTTACAACAGTCGCCGAAAAATAAGCAACTGTCATCACAAGCACAGTCCAAGAGACTCAGTCTGGTTGCCGAACAACGATTTGCACAGGAGTCTTTTAGAAAAAGGTCATTAGAGAGTACGTGTTCAACAACTATCCTTTCATGGTAAACAAACGTAATTTCCTGGGAATCTAAACAAAAAATGAACAGAAATAAAATTACTGTATTATTACCACCGCAAAGGTTACGTTTTTATTCGATTTGTTATGTGTGTGTGTGGAGTGTGTTTGTATGTACGTTAGCAAACACCTGCCTACAGTTTTAGGTATACATGCGTCAGATTTTTACAGATGATTTATGATATTGAAAGAAACGTTTCTTTCTATATGGTTACGATCCGTAGTCGGGTGTGGATGTGGGGACCATTTGAAAACACTCAGCATTAGATATATCAAAAACTATTCTACAGTATGAAACCTTCTAGAAGTTAATATTATGTTACACCTAAACAATATAATTATACAGTATTATAATTAACATTGCCGATTGTGAAATGCCGATGTTATTTTGGTTAATTTTATGTAACAAACACTACGCCTATATTATGTTACAGTATGAACTACATTTTCATTGGATCCAGGATTTCGAAACAGAGGGGGTCAGGGGGACTTTCACAGACGGAGGGTCTAGACCACCTCCGCCTCTCAATGGTTGAGGATGAGGTGACAAAATGTACGGTATGATTATGGCACCTCTAGATGGCCTGAAATAAAACTCTCAATTTGATTATCACTTTCCCTTTTTTTCCTTTCTTCTATCTTTTTTTTTTCTTTCTTCTATTTCAAAAAAAATGGGGGGGGGGGGGGGGGAGGCCGCATTATATTTTTCCCATACAGGTAAGGCAGAAATTATAGAGGGCGGTATTAAGGTTATGTAGGTGAACTGATAACATGAATAATGCATGTTTAACTTCCCCCTCGCGAGTCCCGAAAGCAATGTTCGCTGCTTGTGGAATATGAAACCTAGATTTATATAGCAAACAGATACATTATAAACAGTAATTTTACCAAATTCAACGATTCACTGATTTACAGACAGTTCTACAAAAAATCCATAAATTTAATACCAGCCAATTAATGCAAAAGAATACAGCAAATACTCTCACTGTCTGTTAATTGACAGGGATTTTTTTCTCATTAAAAAAATTAATTGTAAAATTGTAAGTTAACTGTGTCCGAAGTACTCGTTAATTGTCTCTGTCAAGCATTTCTAAACATTCCTTCAGAACCAGTACTGGGGCATACAATTGCTACAACACATGTCACATCTAGGCCTATATAATATACTGTATGCCTACTCAAATAGCCAGATTCAATATTACTGTGCTTTTATTATGCTTTCAAAGACCATGCTGTACATAAACTGCGTCTAGTCATAGGGATATTTTTACAATTATAGTCAATTAATTTTCACCACTGTCTTTGACAACCAAGGCCTATTTAAGAAATGTTGGCCCTACTACATAGCGTTCCTCCATGCATAAGCATTGTAGCTTATTCGTATTCGATACACCACGGAATTCTGTTTCGCGAGGGGGAGGTCAGTTATGCATAAATTCATGTACATCAGTTCACCTAATTGACCTAAAATTTCACCCTTAACTGTATGGGGAAAAATAATGCGGACCGGCTTGCGCCCCACCCCCTGAATCCGCCACTGCTTGCCATCCGGCACTGCCAGATATAAAATATTTTGGTGACGATCCGGGGTGTGGAAGATGACCATTTAAAGAAATGTCCAAACCAGATATCTAAAAAACGGATCGAATGATCTGAAAGAAACTTTCTGCAAGTGTTAACCAAGTTACAAGACAGGAATGATTAAATGTTGTTGACGATCCAGATTTGGGTGTGGATTTTAGGGATCAAGTAAAATGCTAAAGTCCCAGACATGAATAGGGCTATCTCAAAAATTCATCAATGGACCTATATGAAACGATTTGGAATGGTTTACCATTTTCCACGGTAGAAATTATTACATTTTGGTTACGATCCAGAGTTAGGTATCATTAAAAAATAATATCTTAATGTTTAATAACTGCCTATAGGTCAACTTTTTAATTACGATTCAATATACAATATCAAAGAATATGTGTTTATGTTTTAATGTGCCTATTACATGTTTCTAGTTCTTATTTTTACGAGCTTTGACAACACAACAAATTTACTTTTGGACCAATAAAGTTTTCAGTAGTCAGACTTTTAAATAAAGTTAATATATTACCATTTTGAAGAGCTTTGTTGACAGTAAACATGATTGCACATGACACAAAGAACCACGGCGACGCCACAAGAAACATCATGCTTCCTACGATTCGTCAAAATTATAAAACTCTAAAATAAAATGAATACTATTCATTTAAAATGTGTAACAAACACATCATGCGTAGGTCTAGACTATAAAAATACACCCGATTCACACAATGTTATTTTATTACGGAAATGTTAGCCTTCGACGCACTACTTTTACATAATAAAAAGTACATCGCTGCTCTCCTTGTATCTCTCAGCTAGAGTGCCGAAGTGCAAGTTCTGATAGCGCACCGTCTTTCGGATAAGTGTTTAAGCCGTTGGACCCGTGTGCATTATGGCCCATGTGCACGTTAAAGAACGCAGTACGCTCTTCGGAAAAGAGTAGGGAATTGTCTCCCAATGTACTGCCCAATCACCAACAGAAGGACCCTACTGGAAATAAGTCTTCTTCAGACGTCTGTGAATAATCCTTGGTGTTTACACCAAATAAATCCAATCCAATCTAATCCAATACGTTGTCTTAACAAATGATCATATAACACTTACCTTCGGTAACTTAGAGAATATTGACTTGGAACTGTTATCAATAATATGAACGCTGCTCCTCTTAGCTTAATGATCTGTTGCAACAGGCAGCTTTATTGTATGTCTACTAATACTAACAGCCAACTGAGAAGATTTCCGAGAGGGAGGTGATATTTAATCGTGAATTAGTTTGGGATCAATATCAAATCTGGTAAGGTATTGTGCGCATGATCACGGAGTGAGATGTGAATACGAATAGGCTTAAAATATTAACTTACGTGTGACGTATTACAAATTAATTCAACAGTCTAATTTACATCTCCCTAGTCTATTATGAAGGATTGAATTATGGGTGAATGATGATGGTAATGAGTATTGTATTATGTGTATTTATTCTGTTCTGATATAGGCCTATAT